TATTTTATATATATTTGGAAAAGTGTTGAATACTGTTGAATTTGTTCGCAAGAGCTGAGATCTCCCTGTAGTGCGTAAAAGATTTATTCATGTGTTTGAGATGGACATCAATTTTAACATAAAAATAGAAAAACGTGGAACAGAAAACAGGGAATTTCTGTGATATGTAATGATCTTGTTGAACTAAAATCTGTCCAGTGGCTGTTCCCTTTACTCCGATAAACCATTTGTGAACAAGTTATCGCTAAAGGTTGTATAAAACAGAAGGTGGGAAAGAAAAAAATAGGTTAACCATATGCACCACTTACTGTATGTTGTGTTTTAAACTGTATTCTGGATGTATTCTACTTTAGGTGGTGTAATGCTAGGTTTAAAATGCTGACTACAGGAACTCTAACGCAAACAGTAGTAAGGCATTTATGGGAATATAAAGAGAACATAACTAAAATTTTACAAATACTTTTGCTTGGGGCTGTTGGAAGAGCAAATTAAGTTGTGCATTTCAATGTTTATTTGAAGTAAGTGAGGAATCTAATTCTCAAATCCAAACTTACATGCTCGAATGCTAATTAGGTTCCGTGACCAGAGTCCTGATTTGGTTTTGGCCTCTATTTTGGTGACTGTAGTTTGCAATCGAATGTTATCTCGACACTTGAGATGCTGGGTGAGCGACAGATCACACATTATTATACTAGGAAAGAACAAGGCTTTTTATGCTGAATATATCCAGACCATACATACCTGGCCAGACTTGGAAGGAATGCTACAATTCTTCTGTTTTAGTTTGCATCCCCAATTTTATTTGTTCACATTAATTAATTCTTCATCTGGAACTTTTCTGACTTTTAAAGATTATTAAAACTGACAGATTGCAATTGCATTATTCAGTTGTACAGTCTCAAATCCTGCAGTCAGTACTGGGGCAAACCTTACATTAAATTTGCAGAGTACTGACTCTCATGCTCTGAGGATGCATATTTCAGGTGAAGTAAAGTATGGTTCCTGACATGTGGGTCAGTAATCTAACAAAAACAAAAGGATGAAAAAAAAAAAAAACTGTTTAATCTATATTTGCCCTCCTAATGTTCAGCTAATGATCTGTTAAAGTTGGATTGGCTTCCTTAGAGAGACCTGTTACAAGAATCTCTGCAACAGCGACTGAACCTTGTATGGAACCAGGTGAATTGCTAACTATTAAATCTGGAGCCAGAAGAGCACTTCACAGGGGAACATTTATTATTCCTTTCTCTTTGTAAAATAGTTACATGCAAATAGAAATGTCCTCATTCTTGCTCATTATTCAAGTTCATTCAGCAAACTTTTTTTTCTTTAGCTACATTAGAAGTATTCAAAATATGAATTTAATTTTGTTTTTCCAGCCACATTATCCTGTCTGACAAAGGCAGAATACATTTTGTATGTCTAGAATGTGGAATATGTTTTCCGTGACTGTTGTTCAATTTTTAAGAAGCACTGATTTTGTATTTGGGGATAAAGACTGCAAAAAAAAAAAAAACATGATGTGTCTCATAAATCACTAAAAAGAACATTTAAATATATCCTAGCACTTTTATGCTTGCTGAAATGTGCAGTTTCTATATTTGGGAGCATCTATCAACATGCAGTCATTTTAAGCATAAATTTCCTCTCTTTATGATTTCTTCTACAATGTTTGAAGCAGAAAATAAGCTCTGTGGGAAAAGCTCTGCAGTTCTGGCTTCATGGTGGGTGCTGTGAACTTTCTACCTGCATGGACAGTGGAGAAACCTACATCATGTAAATATAATTATTTCCACATTCAGTGTTAGAAACAAGAGGGGAAACAGTTGGCCACATTTTGGACACTGTCTTTGGAATATGTTGCTGATTGATAGATTCCACATAGAGCTTCAGTGATGGGTCAGGACACATTGTCTTTTGGATCTCTCTCTCAAATAGCACTAGAGACAATAGACACATCAGGACTTTTTATTCATTCATTCATTTATTTATTTTTCTTTCTGCATCTTGTGTCTGTGTTGTTTGCTTTTGTGTTTTCTTGGTGCAGTATTCTGCCTTTGCACAATCCATGTGCTTTGGGGGCGAACAAGCAAAGTTCTATAAAGAAGGAGGAGGTACTCTTGAGTTTTTCATTTCTTCCTTCACTTCCCTCTGCCCTTTCCTCTGTCCCTTCAGAAGTGAGCAGCAAACATCTTTTTGTTAAATGGTTTGTACATATATAACATGAACAACTGCAGGCACATTCTGCTATGTGATGTTTGGTCATCTCAAAAGCATCGCTCCGTTCCTGGGGAGGACACACACTATTCGTTAGAGAGGGTTTGGCTAAAAGGTATCTTTGGACCAACCTCTCTCCAGTGATTTACAGGTACTAGGTATATCGAGTGGAACCTGATTCTTCTTACTTCATTCAGGAATTAGATCTGACTTGGGAAGCTCTGTCACAAGTCAGTTGTGAGGAAAGAAGCTGCAGCAGACTAATTTGACATGTCCTAGTCGTAGTCCCTGTTTGAAATCACAGAATCACGGAATATGCAAGGTTGGAAGGGACCTCTAGAGGTCATCTAGTCCAACCTTCCCGCTCAAGCAGGCACACCCAGAGCATGTGGCACAGGGTGGAATGGTAGGAACATTTAAAGCTGAATGAGGAGAGAAGGTTGTGGGAGCAGGTGAGGGGTTAAAAGACTCAGTTAAAAAGACTCTGCAAAGAGGCCCAGATTTTCTCTGAAGAGGCCAACAGAAGTGCATCCTTCAGGTGGGAGGATTCTTAAAATAAATGCATTTTTTTTCCTTTGTGCACAGCAGATTCCAGACTGCACAGCTATAGGCACCCAGATAAGACATTTGCTTGCACTGTAGCAAGCTATGATATTTTATGGCTCAAGTCATACATTTGGATTTTATGGCTTAAGCCATGAATTTCTTGGTAGAAAAAAATGGATGATTGTCTCTTGGCAGTGGGTAGGACAGTAGTTATGACTGATCACTCCTCCTCCACTCCAGTGGACTCTTTTTACCTTTATATCATCTCTTCTAATTTTCATTCTGTTAGTCCATGTCTGAGTCACCTTTTCCCCACTGGAAACTGAATCTTACGTCTCATTCTAATCCCTTATGCAAATCACAGAAAGATAACTACTGGTGCACTTTGGCCTTGCTTCTCGCTTTAGCCTACAGAGATAATTCCTTTCATGGAGGTATAATCCTCTGAATATTTCATGGGTAAATAATAAACTCAAAAGCTTCCAGTGTATGCAAGGAATTTACACATAGCTGCCTATATATAAAATTCAAAGGCATTGCTGCAACAAGTTGTGAATACATATCATTATGAAAATTACATATTGAAGATATGTATTCACAACTTGTGAATACATATCATTATGAAAAAGCTCCACCTAGTGCAAAGATTAAGATTCTGTATGTGATCATTTCTTGGGTAGGATTTGTTTGTGGGACAGGGGTTTCAACATGGAATTGCAAACAGTGCATGGTTAGTACATCAGAGGAGAGATGGTGATCAGAAGGAAGACAAAGAGCATTGAGACATATTGTGAAAACCTTTCAGAAAACAAACCTTGCAATTAACTACATAGGAGCCACAGGTGACGTAGATCTGATCGCATACTTCAAGAAAAAAAAAAGAATATTTTGTTACCACATCCATCCAGTTTCCTCACTTTCTCCTTATTACTGTGGATAATAATTACTGTTAGAAATAATAATTGAAGGTACCTTTCAGAGATTTATTTGGCCATATTTGCATTTCAAAGTAGCATCTTTTTCACACTTCCCACACTCAAGATCTTGCTTTGCTAACATTATTTATACAGCACTTTATTTAATAGCAAGCTCAAGATAGACATGAAGTGAAAAATAAAGGTCTTTATCCTGAAAGATGCAAAAATTGATCAGGTACACACATAAAATATACAGACTTCTCCTTCTAGAAACATGTGCAATGCTGGACCACATGGTGTAATTTACTTGTCTGAGGAGAAAATGTGAACAGTCTTTTGGGGCTTTAAATTCTATGAAAGATTGCTTGAAATTTAACACAGTGTGGCCTTGCGAGTAAGTAGAAGAGGGCTAGCTGCTGGAGTGTGCATTGCAGCCGATTGCAAACAATTCTATCCTTAAACTCTGTTCAGAAGCAGCAGCAAGTTGTGGCTCACAGTGCCCACCTACATGCTGCCACTACCACAGAACCTCTCCAGAATGAAAGCATAGCCTGTTCTCCAGCACCTTTGAGAGTCTTTGGATAATGTCCAAGGTGGACAGCTAAATTGCCACCTGGTCTCAGTTTGGTTGGATTATTTTGCAATATAGAAACTTTTTTAGAGGGAGATGGACCATGAAAACACAAGCCATTTTAACACTACAGCAATTCTTATGCCTGTTTGTCAGACCAAGTCACGTAAAGCTTGTAGGCTGTCAATTCATAGTTTTTGTCTTAAAATATTTGCCTAAGAAAGACTCTTGTGAGTGTGCAAATGCCAAGCTCTTAGAAATGAGCCATCTGGACTTTGTAAGCCAGCAGGTAAACAAATGGACCAGGCTCTTTGACATCTCTCAGGTTATTGCTGATCATAATAACATTAACATTTCCAAAGGTGTCTCTTTGCTTCGTCACATTTCAAAGACTCCATTAATTTTGTTTTCACATGCTTAAATATTTATTTTGACCTTTTACCTCCTGGTATAACCTCCTGGCTTGCTGGACCATCAAATCAAAATATGCTGATGTGTTCTGAATGGCCTTGCTGTCTGTATAAACACCCTGCATAAACAGCTCTCCCAGAACAAAAGAGCGAGCCCTCCACGGAGCTGTAGCAAGCCTCTCCCTCCATTCCAGATTAGCCATCCAGGTAGACGCTGTGTTGATACGTGCCAGCTGGCTTTCAGGCCTCCTCGCCCGGAGCTCTTGCCTGCCCCCATGGCTGTTTGCAGTGGGTGATGCTGAAGTGAAACCAACCCTGTGTTGTCTGTTCGATGTGCAGGTGCCACCGCTGCAGTCCCACCGACGCTGCTCGGCCTGTTGCTGATGGCCCTGGGTGTCCTCGCCTACCTGGAGTACTGAATGTAGCCCGATTTATCCCGCCCTCCACCCAAGGCAGAGGATTCCCTTGGAACACGAGGACTGCAGCCCTTTCTGATTCCCGTGGCACCATCCTTAGCCAAATAAATTACACTTTAAAATAAATTACCCTACTGATTTCCTATGGACTTTAAGAGGACTGAGGCATCCAGGAACTCCTCCATGAAGTAAATCAACTTTTGAAAGGATAAGAAATGATTTTTAACTTGTTCCAATATGCCTTATAAAACACTTACACTGATCTGTGACAGTTGCATGATTCGGTCCAATGGGGCAAGTTACAGTGTTAAAACCCAATAACCTAGGCTGTACAGTGAAAGTAAAATCACCATATGTAGGTGCTTTAACTTGAATAACAAATTGTGAAATATAATAGAGATTGAAATGTTGATTGTATGTGATAAATGTAAGAGTACTACGTCTGTCTGTACTATCTTATATGTTTTGTGTACTGCATATTTTTGAATGGCCCCATCACCATTTATTGGGATTACAAGTTTTTAGAGATACAGTCAAAGCAAAAACATTTATTTATTTTTAGAGCTGTATTTCTCGAGGCTATTGAATATAATTTCAAAGATTTGAAACAAAATTCAGTGACACAGGATTTTTTTTTAATTTTAAATATGTTCACAACACCTGAAGATATTCATAGCATGCCAAACTTAAAAGAATTAGCCAAGAATTTCAGTGACACTAGATTTACCATATTCTTTTTTTAAAATAATTCTGTTAAAAAATGCTGATTTTTATATCAATTACTGTTTTATTTTTTATAGAGATAATGCTAATGACTGAGCATGCTCCTCCACTGCAGTTAATTTACTCTGATCAGGATTTGCTGCTACAGTCTCTGGTTTTGATTGCAGGAGTGAAAAGTCCGCTTTCAGAGAAGCAACACCATATATTTCTTTTTGATTATTATTAAGATATTAAAAAGAGCACTTAGTAGCTTGAAAATAGAGTACAGAATAGGATCAGCCAAATGGACCATGAAGTGATAGGAAACTTATGTTATTTTTTAAAATGAAAGATTTAAAGTATAAAAAAAAAAAGATATAGAGTAAATGGGAAAAACAGAGTAGCACAGTAAAAATATTATTATGATATTTACATTTTTATGCTGCAGATACCAGGTGTTACCTTCCTATATTGAAGGCCTACATTTGGGAAAATTATATGCTTTTTCAAGAACCTGATATTATTCTAATGTTCATAGTGTTGTAAATAAGAGTTTTAAAGTTCTGAGACTGTTTCCCTATTTGATAGAATTCTGAATGATCCAACTATATGTTAATACCTGAACGTCCGATCTCAATTGTTAGTGGAATCTAAATGTTAACTATGGCCTTTGCAAACTGGGAATGCTATTAGAGGTAGAGAATGTTTTTGTTCTGACTGTGTCTACAGTGTTTCAGTGTTTTCTGTTTTGTTTTTTAAATTGTTAAAGAAATGCACATTTTTTTTCATTTTCCATGGTGTGCTGGGACTTTAGTTTGAGTGTGAATGTTGAAGAAACACAGTGATATTGAATCAGCTGGCTCAAGTAATAGTGCAATGTCTGATGCTTCAAGAATTATAAGCGTTGAATCATATTTTATTAGCACAACCTTGCTAGCTACTTAGAAATAGATTTTATCTTTTTAGAACTGATACTGTAGAGGTCCGTAATAATAATATTTACATGAAGCAAGAATAGGCCTATTAATAATTTACACCTCCTTCTTTAATTTGTATAATTTTGTACTATATATTTACATGTAAAAGTGTAGAGTCTTCATTAAGAAATATCAATAATGCTGTTTCAGTTTAATTTTAACTATTTGTTACAAGATGAAACTTTTTTAAATAGGTGAAAGTGATAACTTCCCTATAAAGGAATGTTAAAGTGTCAAACAATACTGAGTTTCATAAATTGTGTAATTATTTGAAAGAAAAATGTGTTGTTGTCTTCATATACAAGAAACTAATACGCTGTAAGCCTTCTGTACAAAAAATATGTTTTGTTGTATTTTATTCAGTTTGGTTATTTTGCAGTATGACTCATTTTTATATAATATACAACCACAACTAAATCTATTGCCAAATGCATGATTGCCTTTTACTTTTCTAATACATGGTATAAGAAGCAAAACTGGTTAGTTTTTGCATGAAAATTACCTGGGAGGGAAAACCACTTATTTTTTCTTTCTTTCTTTTTTTTTTTTTTTTCTAAATCAACACCACAGATGAGGTAGTTCTCACATAATGATCAGATAGTTCCAGATCTTTCATTGTTTCACCTAATTGTATAGATTTGACTGGGACCTTCAGTTTCAAACTATTGTCCAGAAAAACTAACTATTGTATCATCTGCTTTAAAATGCAAGGTTCTTAATTAAAGTTTATATAGATAGACGTATTTGTTGTTTCTTTATATTTCAGGAAACTTGATATTACTATTATTTGATACTGATGAAATTTGAATCGTTTTTTAGTTACTTTTTATCATTTTTTTCAAATGAGTAGAGCAGGACCGTACTTTGTCCTTTTTATGGATGAAAAGTAAACTACAATTAAATAAATGTATTAATGTTAATCAAGATACAATAATTGTCTTTTGAATTGGAGCTTTCTAATTTTATAATAATGATGTGGTTATATGTAAGAGAGCAGATGGAAAGAGGTCACATGTATCCATCCCTGTCTTCTTGGGAATTTTGCAGAAGCTAAAGAGCATGAGTGAAATAAGGGCAGCTGCTTTACTTTAATTACAGGTCATATATAAAGAAAGAAAGAAGATTTTCATAACTTCAGTGACGGAGAATCTCCAGAGAATTTTTCCGCATTTTTGAAAGAAAGAGCTAACTGAGCATATTTTTTTTTCCATAAAATTCTAGTAGATTTGGTTACCAAAAAAAAAAAAAAAAAAAAAAAAAAGGGATTGAAATAGGAAAACTTTGTACTCCTTAATACCTTGTATGATCACATTGATTTCACACATCAGGTATAACTGTTTGAGATACTGCCTGCCTTTTGAGGGATCAAGTTCAGATCCTAAATTACATAAAATGTGACATGAAAAAAGAATTTATCTGATAATGAAACTGCTAATGACACTACTGAACTTTGTTTCATTTATCTTCAGACGTGGAGTGAGAAAAGAGTTGATGAGAGAATTGAGAGAAATGAGAGAAGAGTTGATGAGAGAATGTGTTTTTCATGCCCTGCTCCTAATAGACTGTCTAGTCAACCCAGGTAGGGCTCAGGCAAGGTGAAGGCACACTCTGTATTTCTATTTTGGTCTCTGAAATGGGATTTTGAGTCTTTGTTCAACTGCCAGTTCCCTGCTAATAACTTTGAGCCTGTTGGGCAATTGCAGACAAATTTGACAGCTATCAAATTAAAAAATTAATCATAGTCTGAGCAAAAGACAGAATCAAATTAGGGAGATGCCCGGCTGGCGGCTGCAGCAAGGTCCCTGGTGTCACCCATCCTGCTTGGCCTGCCAGACAGCTGGTCAATGAGCACCTCAAAGCTGGGTCCTGTTCACCTTGCTCCTGGCTTACCCAGGGGTTGGAGATGATGGGATGTGAATATGCAAGGAAAGGAGGTCTGAGGACAAAGCACTGCAAGATAGAGAAGTAGTAGAGGGAATCTGAGCTTATTGCAGTGATAGAACGGGAAAGAACAGGGCATAGAGAATAAATCTATACGAGAAAAAAGTTTTGTTATTTCTGCTGTGTGGAACTTCTTTTTTCTTTCTGCAAATTCTTTGTTTTCAAGCTTCAGAGCCTCTAGCAACAGAAGAAGATTCTTTAAAAAATCCTTTAAATATTAGGTATTTGGATAAAGACTAGATCTTCCGGTTTGATCTGCCTCATCAGAATTAAGTTGCATTTCATATTGGAATTATCAGTAAAATAACAAGCATCAGGCAATACTCAAAAGCAATACCGATCTTGAAATAGCTCCAAGTGCTGTTGTTGGAGATTTTGTTTATTTAAACTCATCATTGAAATGTCTCTTTCACATTACATTCACATGACAGTACTGTATGTTTTAAGGAAATGCATATAACAGCAGCATACATTTCTGTAGTTTCTAGTGCTTATGTATTCTCCATCTTCAGATACATCTTCTCAGGGGGTTTTTGCACCAGGTCAGGACATCAGCAATACAGTGGAACTACCAACTTTCCTCATAGATTCGTGAGATCTTTCAGAGAAAGGTCACCCTGTTCTGCCTTTTCCAGGAAAACTTCATCTTTCTTTCATTTCCTATTGCTAATTCTTTTTGCTTTATCATTTTAATACTCTTTTTCATTTTCAAAAAACAGAAGAAGGAACAAAAGGGACAAAAACCCAAATGAATGAGAAATCAGAAACAATATTTCTATCATCTCAGACATAGCACTGTGTTTTCTTGAGATGCTAACTTGTTTTGCTTCTGTCTGAATGCCGACTACCCCAAGGCTGTCCTGAAGGACACCTTGAAAAGACATGTAAAACGTGTTTTCTTCACCTTGGGAGGCCATGGCTCTGATCTACTCTCATGATTAGCATGGATGATACTCGCTGGAAATTACTTTAACCTGCTGATTTAGCAGATGACTTCAGCAAGCAATCTCCTGTGAGTACTTAGGGCTGGATTTTGATGGTCCGTATTTAAATAGACTAATAGTTACTTTAATACCTGATGCCTTCAGCCTTCAGTATGTGGCCGCAGCCTCTAACCAGCTGCTTCACGGAAAGGTAGGAAATAATTTCCTTTTCTCTCAAAGCAAGTAGCAGCAAAGGAACAGCTCCTGCTGATTCATAGACTGATCTGTTTCCAAGGCTGTGGATCTACCTGCTACCCTCTAGTCACAGCAGATTGCAGTGTAGCAATATGGCCCTTTTGTGTTTTAATATTTGGCTTGGTCAGCGCTGGGGATTTCTGCCAGGGCCCGACGTCATCTAGGAGCAAAGAATATCACAGGACGCCCATCGCAAAGTGCTGGGTCAGCTTTGGTCCTGCATAAACGTAGCTACGCTGACGTGGGTTAAGCTTATGCTACGTGGGAAGTTAAAATAGTTACCCTGGCAAAAAAAAAAAAAAAAAAATGCTTGTTAAATGTGCTCTGCCCCCACTAGGAGGAGGCCTTTAACAGAGCGGCGTCAGAGGTGACGGGATGAGGCTGGTTCCCATCAGGAGATGTATTCCAGGAGCAATGGGAGCAATGGCCATACACTCTGCAGGGTGCCCTGCTCTGCACATTGCTAATGGGTAAGTCTGAAAGGGAGAAAATTAAAGACCTGCTTGTTTTTTTCCCTCCATCTTCCCCATCGTACCCCACATCCACTACTGGCCGTGGCTTTCAGAGAGAACTCTCCCTCTTATGCACATGAAATTGGTACATTTATAGCAGAGTTAATTAGACAAGTAAATAGGACAGATAAATCACTCCCTAAATGTGCCTCTCCGCTGCCTAGAAAGGAGACCAAACTCTAATTTGCAGCTGTCTAAAGGCAGGGAAGATAAAGCCCACCCCAGCTGTGTTATGACAGCTCGCAGTATCAATCACTGGTGAAAAGGCAAATCCAGGCAGACACTGGAAAGAAACGTACTGGGCACTGTCTCCTCTGGATGGCTGCTAAGGTGCGGCTGCTTATCAGTGCCACCTCCATCTGCTCAGTTTCTATGGCACTGAAGGGATCTGGAGACAGTCCTGCCCTGATTGCTCATTTACCTCAGGTCCTGGGAAATTCAGAGCCTCCCTTTGGGTCCAACACGTCATGTGTTCTGGGTGAGCCCCTCTCAGCTTCTCCATCAGTCAGACCCCTTCACCTCATCGTGGAGCATGCAGATTTGCAGGCCCCATCACACAGCTCTAGGTAGGCATGTGCAGCACTCACCAGGGCTATAAAGGAGTGGATATTTTAAGCAAATGGTCCTTAACTGCCTACCAGGATTTAAACCAGCATTTAAACCATTTAAGCTAGTGTTTAAACCATCAAGAAGCATCTAGTCAGCTTGGCCCCTAGGATGTGAAGCAGCACAGAGCACTGGCTAGCCACAAAGATAGTGCCCTGCTCTAAGAAATTACACAGTCAGTATAAGATCCTGTGAATTCTTTTCACACTCTAGCTGCAGAAGAGAGGTTGATATTTATTCTGCATTTAGACCTTTGTTGTGTGAATACAGAAGATTTCAGTGCTTGGAAGCCAGGCTTAGCGAACCCCTGTCTTTGTGATGATCCCTAAAGCAAGCAGGCTCTGGGAATGCAAAGTTTCCATTGCTCAGACCCCAGTGCCAGCAACTGGATTAGTTGTGAAGCTTATTCTTTAGTTTTCACGAAGAAAATAAAAAGATATAAAAGCACAGAGTGCCCAGGGGCATTCAGTTCAAGGGATTTATCTTGCTCCAGCAGCTCCCATGAGCACTGGATCTCTGTTGTGCCTGCAGCATGGCAGGGCTCACAGGACACAATGGCTGGTTTGTGCTGGGAAATGAAATGCCAGGACTGCTCCCTGTCACTGAGGCCAAAGAGTATTTCCATACTGTTAAATTCTGTTACCGTCCATACCAGTGTTGTTCTGCACAACTGCCTGTTAGGGACATTCTGCTCTTTTCCCAGGCCTATTTGTCAGACAGCCACGGGCAGGCTCAAGGCACTTCTAACAGCTTAACAGCAGAGACATTGTGCCCCAGAGCACAGCCCCGTGCCCCAGCTCCCTTGAATTTACCAACCAAGATGTAGCCATTATGTACCCGATTCTGAAGGGTGAGAAGGCAGACTCAGCCAGCAGACTGAAGGTAAGAAACAGCTGTATATGCTGTATGTATGCATGTATATATGCTGTATACTGCCTGATGTTACCAGCTGTAGATACTGTTTAGGTTTTCACTTGAGATCATCAGCAAAAAGAGTTAGTTTAGGTTCTGCAGAAGCTCAGTTTCTACTAATTCCTTACTCTGTTTACTTGTATTTGCAATTTTACTAAAGCCACTAATATTCTTTCTAAAGTGCCTGAGCTTATCTTCCGTGATGCAGCCAAGGAAACACATGAATGACCCATAAGGCAAATGGCAAATAGGTCTGTTATACTGCCAGGTACCCTGACTCTGAACTCCCTCTAAGTGAA